CCCTCTCTAGAACAGAGGGAGCGGGAATAACCGCCCCACCACCCTTAATTCGTCTGACGTCGTGGACCCTCACACCAAGTGAGGAACCCACCTCCTTAACCACTTTATTGATAACACGCCCGCTCAGTAAAAGAATGCCAACAACACGGTGCTACACTGGAACTAAGCTTCCGCCAATAACAACAACGTGGATGACCACGCTGCCCGTATAATAATAAGTAAGATTAAAATCACTTACCGCTATATTCAGTACACAAAAATGTGTACCCGCACAAAACACTCGCGGTCACTCACCCTCGCTACCCACGATCACACCAACATTTTCACCGCAAACACGCCAGGCAATAACGGTGCCAGCTAAACTGTGTAAACAAATGACTGCTCAAAAGAAAATCGTAAAAAATACGTTAAAAATCAACGAAAAAAATACGTTAGAAAAACTACGTCAACTAAAGAATGACATATTGACATACATAGCTTTTGTTCCAGTCGTATTCTTCTTCTTAATTGGCTAAGACACCGCTTACGCGATGATAGCCCAGTTAACGACAGCACGCCAGTTCTTTCTTCTTTTCGCTTAATTGGCGTAGACACCGCTTACGGGATTATAGCCCAGTTAACGACAGCACGCCAGTTCTTTCTTCTTTTCGCTACGTGGCGCCAATTGGACATACCAAGCGTTGCCAGGTCCTTCTCCACCTGGTCCCTCCAGCGGAGTGGAGGTCTTCCTCTTCCTCTGCTTTCCCCGGCGAGTACAGCGTCGAATACTTTCAGAGCTGGAGTATTTTCGTCCATTCGGACAACATGACCTAGCCAGCGCAGCCGCTGTCTTTTAATTCGCTGAACTATGTCAATGTCGTCATATATTATATCTCATAGGGCTCATCGTTCCATCGAATGCGATATTCGCCGTGGCCAACGCGCAAAGGACCATAAATCTTTCGCAGAACTTTTCTCTCGAAAACTCCCAATGTCGACTCATCAGTTGTTGTCATCATCCAAGCCTCTGCACCATATAGCAGGACGGGAATTATGAGTAACTTATAGAGTTTGGTTTTTGTTTATCGAGAGAGGACTTTGCTTCTCAATTGTCTACTCAGTCCGAAGTAGCACCTGTTGGCAAGATCCTACGTTGGATTTCGAGACTGACGTTGTTGGTTCTGGTTCCAAGATAGACGAAATTATCTATGACTTCAAAGTTATGACTGTCAACAGTGACGTGAGTGCCAAGTCGCGAGTGCGACGACTGTTTGTTTGATGACAGGAGATATTTCGTCTTGCCCTCATTCACTGCCAGACCCATTTGTTTTGCTTCCTTGTCCAGTCTGGAGAAAGCAGAACTAACGGCGCGGGTGTTGAGGGCGATGATATCAATATCATCTACATGTGTAGAAGCTTACGCAAGTGAATAAAGTTCTCTAATCGCCATTCAGTTGGTAGTGGCCAGAAACGATTATTTTGCATGTGACTTGTATCCTCTGGTTAGCCTAAGAACATCCGTTAGAAGGCGAGCTGAAGTGAGAAGACGAAATATCCCCTACCTAGGGTTGTGCGTAGGGTTTAAAACCCGCCACGTAAAAACACTCCCAATGAAAAGGAACAACCAGGATGGGATGAGTGAGGGCATGCACCTGGAATGTCCGGTCCCTTAATTTGGAAGGTGTCGCTACCCAGCTGGTTGATATTTTCGTGAGTTCAACCTGTATTATTAACATTTAATTGGCTATGTCTTTTTATCCTTAGCTGCTAGGCTGGTGTATTAATTCAACATGGTCTTCCTAGATAAAGCTTTATTTATTAAGCCAGACGCATATAAATTGGTTGTAATAAAATTAATTATTAGCACAACTACGTAGGTTGCACATTATATTTCGGTAGTAGCGAAAAAAAAGTAAGAGTACATGTATATTCACGTTCATCTGGAGTCTTCGATCGTCCTAGCAATGACACATCATTTGCATTACGCCTTCGCTTACTCGTCTGGCTAGTGCCATTTTTCTTTCATATAAGTAATAAATGAAATGAAAAAGTTTGCATTTATTACGAAAAAATAATACGCCTGTATCCACACAATATGTTTTTTTTTTTTTTTGTTTTTTGTTTTTTTAACAAAAAACTCACGTGCATACATGTATTTCACTTCAACTATTCAAAACTTACTATTGTTTGACAATTTAATTAAAATATAGCCTGTTAAGGATATGAAACACTGACGATTTCCTAAAAAACTGAGAAAAGAACACACAAACATATACATAGTACACATTTGAACAATGCGAAGTAATTCAGAAACACCGGGTATTGGCTCGTCCAAGATTATTTTCTTATAGCGCGGCCGAAGACGGCCAACACAAAAAGGAGTATTACGCGAAAGTACTCAATTGAAACCTGAAAAATGTTGTATTTACTTTTATAAAAAATAAAGAAAAAAAATGTGCGAAAATACACAAAAAGAAAACGCTGTCGGTGAAAAGTTCTTTATATTTGGTTTTCGTTTTTATTTTACAATTTTATAACGGATTCTGTAAGAAGTCTCTAGTCACTATTAGAGGCATTTTGAAGTAAAGTTTCAATATGTGACTAGTTACTATTCACTAAACAGTCTCTAGCTTTATAGCGGGATTCTGTAACCAGTCTCTAATCTCTATTTGAGACGTTTTGAGGTAAATTTTCAATATGTGACTAGTTACTATTCACTAAACAGTCTCTAGCTTTATAGCGGGATTCTGTAACCAGTCTCTAATCTCTATTTGAGACGTTTTGAGGTAAATTTTCAATATGTGACTAGTTACTGTTCACTAAACAGTCTCTCGCATTAGTCACAAAATACTGTCGCAAATTTGTGAACTGATACTTATAGCGCGATTCTGTAACGGGGCATCTCGACAAGATACTATCTATGTCTTACTAACTGTCAAATCTATTGCTATTGCCATTGCCAAATCTGTATGTGGGCATTTGCTATCTTGACTTAATCTTTTGCGCAAAAGCGTGGGTTAGGTAGGTTCGAGCTGATGTAGCGCCTGCTTTGAGATCTTGAAATTGCAAAATGCCGTCGGGTAGGTATGTAGCTTTTATGAATTTCTGGGAAAAATAAGATAATAACAAAGGAGAAAGATCCTATTTCCACAAACATATTTTTCGGAAAAATAAGAATTCATAATTTTGGACTACTATATAATAATTGTGACATAAATATACCAATTAAAATGATAAATTTAAAATGAGCAAAGATATTTTGATTTATGCTTGTATAAGTTTATTAAATTTAAGACTTCGGTCATTCCCAACCCAATTTGCGTAATTTTTCTGTAAATTAATTATTAATTTAAATATTAATTTTTTGAAATAATGTCTCCATTTGTGGCTAAATACTATTCACTAAACAGTCACTAGCGTTAATCTCAAAATATTGTCTCAAATTTGAGACCTAATAGCAGGTCACAAAACTGAAATGAACTCTTGTTTGCCATTTTGAATATACTGAATAGAGATCATCATAGATATTAGATATTTTTGACTATGTTATAGAAAATTTGATGTTTGTTATCGACATGTTTATTTTCATTCAAGTGTTAAAACAACTCTTAATAATTAAATTGTAATAGATTTTGCTACTGTACGGAATATCAAAATAGTCTCAAGTCATAAAAATTGTTTTAACTTAAAATCTCAATTTTAGAGGCTTGTGACTGTATCACAGTACAGAATCTCTCGGTTCAACACTAACCTTTTCGGTTAAGAGTGTGCTAAGTGATTTTTTAATTAACCAATTTAGCAAAAAACAAAAATAATATGAGTGTAATTTGAGCTTAATTCAATGTTTTAAGTTATATTTGAATATACTAAGTGGCATGTAAAAAACTGTGTTAAATATTATGAAATAACTTGTGTTATTTATAAACATTTTTGAAACGCGAATATTTTGGAAAGTATAAGTCTTAGCAACATTACTTTTACATAGTTCTCCTCTGGAGAAGCGCTTCCTTATCTGCACATACGTCATTTGTTCGCAGTCACCGACCGTCAACGTAATCGCAATCGTGCCCTTCCTTTAAATTCATTAGTTATGTACACAAGTATAAATAAAATTGAATTTTTTAAATTTTTACGCGAGTTGTTGAGGCGTATAGCAACGTGTATAGTGCGATATGCAAGCCGATTTCATACTTGTTTAAATTTTGAAGTGAAAGGTTGTGTGAGCATCAGTCACAATAGTCATTTTAACGATATTTCTTAATTGCCGGGTTAGATAGAAAACAGCTAAACGTTGTTAGAAAGTGCGGCAAAGTTTATTATCTTTGGCATTAAATTATCTTCTAATTAAACTAAAAAAAAACACCCAGAAAAATTTCAAGTTCGAACATATTGTTAAATAATAAAATTAAAAAAGGTTTTTGGCCAAAAACAATTTTTTAAATTAAAAATTAGAAGATTAATTATTGACAAATCTTTGAGTTCTTTGTTTCCGATAAAATTGCGATCGGCATCCTGCCCGCCGTCCGACAAATGCATATGTGAGATTGGATATCAAAGATATCGCGTAAAAAAAACTTTCGGTTAATGTTTAAATATATATTTATAAAAAATCGACTTTTTGTAGCCTCTAAAGCAGGCTCCCCCCTTAGTAGCGAATTTCCTATAGTTGAGATTTGTACAAAATTAACAAAATCTGAAAAGTCTGGTGCTGGTGAAGTGGACATATACAAGCAAGCACATGAATAAGCAGGAAGACCCTAAAAGCGTTGCTTTCGTTTGCTTGCTACTCATTTTCCGCGCACACCGAAATTACAAGTAGCTCTAAATTTCGGTTTGTGCGGTGATGTCCGTTCAGTTCAGCGACTACAACGAAATGATATCTGAACAACATGTCGATGAAGTGTATAGTGAACTGACTTGCGAAACGGTATGCTTTGAAGTTTGCAAGTGTATATCCCGCTTAAACTTAAACAGGGATGAGCAACGCGGTATATCGAAAAATCGCTATATCGATGAAGTCGTACATCGCTCAGAGAAAATTTCTTCTAATGTTTAATCAACTTTAATATTCCATTATAAATTATTGGTTTTATTGTATATTTGTCGGTGTTAAATTTAAATTTATCGATCAGAAACTTTAAATACTTTTGAACTAGCAGAGGATTTTCAATTTTAACTAAGTATTCAGGAACAAAACTTCATGAGGAAATAAAGAAGTCGTAATATCGCAACATAAATTGTCGAACACAGTATGACGGATCACTATGTGCGAGAGCTTTTGCGAACAGTTGTCGCTCAAATTTGCCAGACTATGGGTTACCATGTCGTACAAACAACTCCGTTTGAGTTGCTTCAGGATATTCTGCAAAGATTCCTTCATGAATTCTCTCGAGACCTGCGAAGACAAGTTGAACATTGTAAGTATTTCTCTTTGCTGTGATTTGTTATCGCATCCCCCAATTTCGAGTTTAAAATGGGTATGTACAAATGGAGGCTATCCAGATTAAGAAAGTATATATACAGGTCCGACTTTCGGTTTTTGGGATCTTTGTATTTAAATTTCTAAAATTCAGCTATTTAAACTGAATTTTTGGGGAATGTTTAGTAGCGCGCCAGTTAAGTATCGTTTATGGAGAAAATGCAACCCAGCCAACATATTTGTATGGACAAGAAATCAAAATAAAGAAAGCCAAAATGTTTCAGTGCAATGTATATACGTATATAATTGCATCTATCCTTCGGCCGCGCTTTAAAAAAATAACCTTGGCCGGTCCAACACCGGCTACGCCATCYACAGTATTTTAGCATTGAAAACCTTTTCCTCCACAGTATCTTAGCATTTCATTCCTTTCCGCACTAGCGGTCGATCCAACACCGGGGTGTTCAGGGTTCTTCGCGTAGAACTCCTTTCGGCCGCGCTTTAAAAAAATAACCCTGGCCGGTCCAACATCGGCTACGCCATCCACAGTATTTTCGCATTGAACACTTTTCCTCCACAGTATTTTTGCATTGAACACATTTTCGTCCACAGTATTTTAGCATTTCATTCCTTTCCGTACTAGCGGCCTTCGGCCGCGCTCTAAAAAAATAAAGCCTGGTCGATCCAACACCGGGGTGTTCAGGGTTCTTCGCATAGAACTCCTTTCTGTACTGGCGGCCTTCGGCCGCGCTTTAAAAAAATAACMCTGKCCGGTYCAACACCGGCTACGCCATCCACAGTATTTTTGCATTGAACACCTTTTCCTCCACAGTATTTTAGCATTTCATTCCTTTCCGTACTAGCGGCCTTCGGCCGCGCT